TAATAATCAAGAAAACGGGCAAAGCAGAAGTACTTTAAAATCTTATGAATAATAATCAAGAAAACGGGGCAAAGCTGAAGTACTTTAAAATCTTATGAATAATAATCAAGAAAACGGGGCAAAGCAGAAGTACTTTAAAATCTTATGAATAATAATCAAGAAAACGGGGCAAAGCAGAAGTACTTTAAAATCTTATGAATAATAATCAAGAAAACGGGGCAAAGCTGCTCGTTTTATTCTGATTTTACAACATTTCATTATACTTTGACGATTTGTCTAATGGCTGAAAAATAAAGTATACTGTTAGGGTAGAGGTAATAACAGATGAAATATAAAGTTTTACAATAAAGAAAAGTTTCGTATTTACTAAGGTGGTTAAAGCGATAACAAAAATGAAGGTTTAGATTTATGAGACAATGAGAAGTATTTTTAATCTTTACATAAAAATCACTTTGTTTTTGCAGTAGTAAAAAAAATATTCGATTTATTCACGGACAAATTGTTAGCAAAAAATACTTCATTAAAAAACTGATTTTTTTTCTTACAAATGACATGTAATGTTTACTAAAAGTCTTCCAAATTTTGTTAAAGTACACATACTGTATTAAAAGGTATAATATTAAAACTATATACAAGTAAAAGTGGTCACGTGGTTGGACCCTAAGTTTAACACAGTAATAGTTAAAGTTTTTTTTGTAACCTATTCAAGCCATCTCTAAACTTCTAGTCTCAAAATGTGTTCCTCATCATGAATTCTGTACATTTTATGTCATGCAAAATAAAATATTGGTTACACTATGTAATTCTCCTAACAAGTATATTGTAATCATACTATAGAACAGTCTTTCCACTGTGATTAATAATTAACCTTGTTTCTCCAGTCTCTTATTGACTAATAATTTCAAGTGAAAGAAGACTTAGGTACAAGTAAAGTACTAATCCTGGTGAAGAAAGAACCAAAACTGAATAGACCAATGAGATGAAACTACATCGTGCTCAGGAAAATTAACTTATCCAATGTCCAGGTCCCTCTTTTTAACTTTTTTCCAGCATAATTTGACTAAATGAAGCTAGATAGGACAGAGAAGAAAGTAAGAAAATAAAACTTTCCAATTAACACTGAATTTCTTATGTTGAACCTCTAATGTTCTATTTAGGCAGCTTGTATTTTGCAAAATGAAAGTTTCTTATGGACAATAAAATTTCTGGAAATTTGTTAGAATAGCTGTAATAGAGAAACTGTGGCTAACATTTCAGCTAAGATCTTCATGGACCTAAGGTGAAGTTCAAAGGTCACTGGTACCTAGGAAATCTGCCCCAATCTTGTGGACAGGTACTACTGCATCCTCAAACTCAGCCATACAGTGTAATATTAATGGGGGCAAAGGTTTTTTTCATAAACACAATTTGCACGTGTTTGCCAAAGTATCTTACATTTTATAAAATATTTGTCAGTAAAACTTCAAATCTTGTATCATTTAGTATGCACATGTAGTAGTATAATATTGAAGAGTTGTGTTGTGTGTCTTCATGTAATTAGTTCTGTATCAGTTAAACAAAACAGTTTATTAACTTGTAGTTAAATGGTTGATTTTAATGTGACTTTGACTTGCACTGCTCAAGATTGTTTTTGAACCTGTTGTATTTATTCTTACAGCGAGAGTCACTACATTTTAATATCAACTATGAAGGATTGTCAACAGATGTTTCTGAAGTTGTTCAGAAGATACAACAGGTACGTAGCTACAACAGGCATATGGTTCTCATCTTAACCTTATCGTGACCTTTCAGGTGTCGATTAGACACCTGTATATCAAATTTCAAAATTTAAGAAATAATTCTAATTTCTACAAATTTTTTTTTTTTACAGATAAAATATTGTTGATATGATATTTTGTAACATTTACATAGTGTGATGTATAAATAAATAGGGAAAGAAATATAAAACTTGTACTTATGGTAAGTTTAGGGGAGTTTTACTGTAAACGATGCACTAAGAAACTGTCATCCCTTGAAAGCACGGTTAATTAAAGTTTGTTTCTATCATGATTTTGCTTCTATGTCTGAAGTCATTATTACATGTTTTTGTTCACATAACATACTGCAAGATCATAAAGGGGGGAGGACTAATTAAGAACAACTTTGTAAATAGCTACAGGCAAAGTTTAAACACCATTAGATAGAAAATATTATAAACAGTTCATGTCATTATAAAGTGGTCAGAAGTTTCAGGAGAAAGCGATCAAATGTAGCTCCTACAGAGAAGAACAATGGGATGTAATGTGAAGTTTAGAAGAACAAACCACAGATTCATTCCTGGAAATGTTTTTGTGTTAAGTTATTTTGTCCTCTATGACAAGACA